CTAACCCAGCAACCCATGATCCAGGAGAAAAACAAACAAGCCCAAACTTGCCAAGGTCACACAAGAGTCTGCCTCCTAACACAGCCCTCCCACTGCCAGTCCCTGCCAGTTCATAATCACAGACATCTACCACAAAATACAGGACTATGTAGCACTTTAAAGACTAACAAGATGGTTTATTAGATGATGAGCTTTCGTGGGCCAGACCCACTTCCTCAGATCAAATAGTGGAAGAAAATAGTCACAACCATATACACCAAGGAGTGTATCCTTTGGTATGTATGGTGGTGACAATTTTCTTCCACTATTTGATCTGAGGAAGTGGGTCTGGCCCACGAAAGCTCATCATCTAATAAACCATCTTGTTAGTCTTTAAAGTGCTACATAGTCCTGTATTTTGTTTCAGCTACACCAGACTAACACGGCTACATTTCTATCACTAGACACCTATCAGACACTCCTGGCTTTTCCCCTCTCCCATCGCTTTCCTTTCCAGCAGCTTTTCTCTCTCTTCTCTCAGGCTGTATCTACACTGCACCCCTTTTCCAGAAAAGGGATGCAGATGAGACAAGACGGAATTGCAAATGCAGCAGGGATTTTAAGAGGAATAAGGGACCTTTTGGAAAAGACTTTATTTTCCGAAAGATCCACATCTAGACTGGCGCTTTTTTCCAGCAAAGCCCCGAGTTGGAAAAAAGCGGCAGCCATGTTCATGCAAATGCAGTGGGGAAAATTTAAATCCCCGCTGCATTTGCAATTCCGACTTGTCTCATCTGCATCCCTTTTCTGGAAAAGGGATGCAGTGTAGACACAGCCTCAGTGTCTTCAAATGGGCCTCCAATTTTTCCTGAAGAAACAGAAATAAACACTGGGGTCAACCCCATGAGATATTGGGAGCCCATTTGTGTGTCTTTAAGCTGCACTATCCCAGTTTTTTAGAGCTCTGTTCCTATATGGCAGGGACTCAGCCCTGGACATGGCTTTGTCCATTGAAAAAGGGACAGGAGGAGACTGTGGATGCAGCAGGATGCCTGTGAGGGTGGGGGATGGATCGGTGGTGGCACCTTCGTAAAGAATGATGCAGGTTCGGATTAGGGAGGTAAAAAAGGTTAAAAATACTCCTCACATAATGGATTACAATTTAATCAATTACAGTACTTTTTAACCTGCCAATGGACAGGGCTGGTAGCAGATGTGGGCTGTCCTGGGGTTGGGGCTCTCTCATGGGGTCTGCCAAGGATGGCCACAAGGACTGCCAGCAAGTGGGGACTCCCAGCAGCTGCAGACTGACATTAGCTGCCAGAGGCAAGTGGGCACTGCCAGGGATATGGGGGAGTTTAACCAGTAACTGGAACCAATATGCATTAGCTCATCAGTTAATCAGTTTGAACTCTTGCTACAACCCAGTCAAATCCCAGTGGTATCTGGCATGGGCCTGTGCTGCCTAGAACCAAGGCTGGTCTTGCCATGAGGCCAACTGAGGCGGCCGTCTCAGGTGCCAGACTTTGTGGGGGGCACCAATAGGACCCAGAGTGTAGAAAATTGTGTCTGCTGCTGATGCATATGTATTCTCTCTGCTCTAGATGCACAGAGATGGTGGAGTGCTGTGCTGGAGGAAGGAACGCACAAAAATCATGAAGAAGGCAGAACTGAGACCTTTCAAAGTTTTGGCCCAAGCAAGGGGTATGCGGGCATCATTTGAGCTCCCCACCTTAGGTGCCAAAATGTTGGGGGCTGGCCCTGCCTGGAGCCCTATTGTGGGTGGATCCAGGTCGCTTGGGGCCCCACACAACATCCAGCCCAGCGACCTCCTCTAGTGCTGGTTACAGCATCTGAGTTTAAATTCTCATGGACCAGGTTAGGAGTTCAGCATCCCAGTGGGAAATCTCCTTTTTTGCTGGGCCTGGGGCTTTATAAAGATGTTTTTCCCTCCTAAGGCCCACATTTCATCTCTGTTCAGAGATGCTGTGGGGAAGGGGGGAATGGAGCCTAGAGGTTAGAGCCTTGGACTGAGACTGGAGAGACCGGGATTTTATGCAAAACTCTATCACAAACATGCTTGGTGATTAAGAGCAACTTGCTACCCTACTTTCCCTTCCCATCTAACTAGACTGTTACCTGCTTAGGGCAGGGATTGTCCCTTGCTGGGTGTTGTGCAAGGCCCATATGCCAGGGGTCTGTAAGGCAATAACAGATTGTTACTGCTTTTCATCTAATCCATAACAGTTTGTAACCACATCTTCTCCAGCCCCAAGGCAGCTCACTCACACAGACTGGACTGCATGGATGATGCGATGCTGCACTTACTGCTCCCCCTCGAGGCCGATCACCCTGCTGAACCAGGTACAGCTACGCACCCAGCAGCTGTCACCACACAAATAAGGCCATCTCAGACCTGAGCCCGGCTCCACAGCCACATAGGAGCAGAGCAGGAGAGAGACCAGCAGCAGCCTTAGGGCAGCAAAGGGCTTTCCCAACTTTTTGGAGCATCTGGCACACCCAGGAGCCAATCACGCACTGTGGAGGGAAACTGACAAACCCACCCACATACCAAAGTGAAAGGCAAAGCAGAAGCTCTGCCTCTGGGTAGCCCCCTGCCACTCTGAGGCAGGACCAGGCAGGAAGCAGCTGGGTCAGGCTACCAGACTGCCTGGGAAGCACCAGCCTGCAGCAGCAGCGCATGTCTCTCCAGGGCCTGGCCCAGACTGCACACGGAGCTAAGAGCAGCCGCCAGGAACATTCCATCCTGTAGGGCACTGGACCCATGTGCCCATTGGGGCCCCTTTATAGGGGCATGTCTCTCTGTTGGGAGGCAGTGAAGGGGAAGAGTCTGTGGCTACTTAGGGACAGCCAGGCCTGGCAAGATTCATTGATGTATACAGGTATAAGTAGCAGCACTGCTTGACTGAGACATTTTTTTCACTAATTCTTGAGTTAACTTTTCACAAGGGCACAAAAATGTGGGTTTTAGCATTTCTGTGCACTTGTTACCAATATTTTCACAAGGGCACAAAAATGTGGGTTTGAGCATTTCTGTGCACTTGTTACCAATCTGACTTTTCACAGTTGCAAGGGAATAGGTCACTAGCATGAAACTACAATGAATGTCAGCAGACACTGGGATTCCAAAAGTTAAAGCTTTATTGTCAGATTGTCAGCATCACCTCTCAAAAGATATAAAGTCTCTAGCCTTAAACTGAACAAATAAGTTCTCAGGCAGCATTATTCTTATCTTGCATCTCTGTCATTCTCACATATCATCTACTGAAGTATTTTCCATTGATTTGTGTGTAGAATAGGGTAGGGATGCTACATTTACATTAACTGGCTAATCAAATAGTTGATGCATGATTATTCGATAAGGGTACCTCCGCCTCTGAAGTGTAGCAACAGCCTCAGGGCTGTTACTACTTTTCAAAGGTGAAAGGGCTCTGGGGAGCACAGGGCCAGTGAGGTACTCAAGTCCCTGCTGGCCCTGTGCTCCCTGCAGCATTTCAAAGTGGCAATGCCACATGGAGCCCAGGGCCAGCGGGGGAGTTTCCAGCTGGCCCTGGGCTGTAGGCAGTGTTTCAAAGCAGCAGTGCTGTGTGTAGGCCAGGGTCAGGCTCCAGGCTGAAATACACGCCCCCCCTTTTCCCTCCTCTTTCTGATACAGGCAGCAAGGGGGAAGGGAGTGACCAGTCAACTAGTGTGTCCACTGTGCAACAAGCATTTGCTTTTTCGGACAGTCAACTACAGCCACTCCCCGAGTTATGACCACCTCCACTTACAACCATCTGCACTTAGGACCAAAGCGATCGTAAATGCAGATCCGAGGTAGGAACGGCGATCCACGCTTACGAATAGTGCAGTCGCCATGTAACACTATGGGCTCTGAGTTATGAACACTTCGAGTTATGGACCAAGTGTTGGTCTGTAAGTTGTTCGTAACTCGGAGAGCGGCTGTAGTCACTCACATCCCTAGGTAACTCCCTGCCCCCCATGGGAGGCAGCAAGGCCAGGGGAGAAGCGGGAGCTGGGGGAGCCATTCTGGTTCAGAAAATATGGACACGGGACACACAGACCCAACCCAAACTCCCCCCCCACAGCCACAAGCCT